AAATCATGGTTGTAAGGCACCGAAGCATCGGTGTTAAACACTGATATGCTGTCGATGATGAGGATGCACCGATCACATTTTCACCCTTCGTCAGATTCTGGAACAGCGTCACTGCTTCCAGCAACCAACAATGATTGTCTTGGCTTGAAATCTGTCATTGACTCTGTGGACCGTCAGGCACTGTGACAGTGTTTGTGGAGCGAGCGAAATGTCTCCCATAGATTCTTGACCCTCCTTAAGGCGCTGTGCGCCAACTCCCATGGACGTATGAAAGTCTACGGGAAGCTCTCACCTGGGTTCACTTCAAGTAATATCGGTGCGATTATGGGACCCTCCAAATTCCTGCGAGGTCAAAGTGCCCTCCGGACATTCGCTCGCAGGTGTCGATCACACAGACGATATAGTTCATCTTGGATCCAACGCCATGGTAATGTAAACAATATTAATATAAACAATATTATTAAATAACCTAAATAGCTCTGCATCAGGGTTTGGCATGTGCTTCACAGTGAAAAGTGCTGCTGCAAGACTGGGTAGACTCAAACTCTAACCTCATGTTTGCGGATGAGTCGATTAAGGTAGCCGGCCAATTCGTCTACCTGGGCAGCTGTGTCAGTCCCGGTGGCTTCACAAAATATTTTTCCATCCAGATTGTGAGGGTCAGAGCAGTTTTCGTGAACTTACATCACCTGTGGCGTAGGCGTCATATCAGCTTATCTGTCAACGATCGAGTTAACAATGGTGCGGGTCAGAAAGCTGGCCGCTGCATGCTTAGGACGCCGAAAGACTTTCAGTGTGTGATCATCGATGTATTTGGAGCATTGTCCGGGTCTGGTGGGAACACTGGATCAGTAGTGCTGAACTACGTCTAATGGTTTTCGGCAAGGAAAGCTGTTCCTCCATAGATGAACTGATCGTGTTCCATAGGTTGCACTGGCTTTGTCAGGTGCTGCTTATGTCAGCTGATCATCTTCCTCTAGGGGCTTTTCGCAACCATGTGAAGGGTGTAAACGATGACTTGGCAGCGAAGTATGGAAACCATCACGAGAAAGCTCAGCTGTGCTAGTCATTGTCATATCTCTCGATGGAGATCCAGAGATTGGGCGCGTTATTCTTTAGTGACATTGTCGGACATGGCCCAGTCGTCCCCTCAATGGCTCTCATGCGTAGCTCCTCTCCCAATCTCAATTGAAAGTCCACTGAAACTGTATTTAGGAATCAAGCCAGTGTCTACAATGTGCAGCTCTCTCCCCCATCTTCCCAAATCACCGATAGACGAAACAGTGACATACGTGGTTTTCAAGGATGCTGATTGATGGAACATTGTGTGTAGAAGAGCAGGGTAGAACAGTTTCATTCTCGTGACTGATTTTGGCTAGCATGAAGCTTGGTAAGTGCCCGGTGGACCCAGAATTTCGAGCGCTCATGTTTTCATTGTCATTCACGAAACTCAAGGGGAATTTAGAATAAACCCCACTTAATGCAGGTCCGAGTGAGCAAGTAGTGCTCTCGAAAGTTCAACATTTTCCCGACACCTGCAATTGACTGTTCCATAGGATACTCTGGAAAACAGTCGAAGTAAGCTTTTAGCTCCGTGCCTGCCTTAGGACGAAACCATATTCACTCTAACTCCAACAGTTCGTGGGTCGGATCGACTTCTCAGCTTTTCGAGTTATTTTTTATTCACTGTCAAGGGTTGGGGAGCAGCAACCAACACCCACCTATCATCCCAATTGGGAACCGGATGGTGAGAATGAGCGGCTGATGCTAATACCACAAACAAATCGAAAATCCATCGATGTTTCTTCGCCTACAAACTGCACCCTTTCAATGAATACCTCATTTTCGAATGTGTATTTATACATCGTCGTCGCGTGGCGCTTTAGGTATCGCTGATTTGTGTTAACAACACTGGCATCACATGCATGTAGGAAACGTGTAAGGCACCGGGAATTACATTAAAAAAACGTGATGCCTTAGGCAAAGACAGTCCGAATGGAACAAACACCAATAAACGCGGTTGCAGCGCACATAAACCAGAGTAAGGTTGAGGTAATAGTTGGATTTGTTCAAATAGTTGTCTTTTCAGTTTATAGTATTGCCAAAGGGACTGGTCACCTAGCTCTAAAACCGATGAGACATGATTAGCTGCTAATCATTCTATGCACAGTGGACCTGTTTGCAACCGCACTAGACCGTTGTTTATTGGCCGTAACAGACCAAGTCTGGAAACGTCACTCATCCGCTGGGAAAGTGGAATTCATGTCAATCTTTGGGGACACCGTTGTATGGAAAGTGGTCACTACAGAATTACAGCAACAAACTGCCAAAGTTTTTAGAGGATGCACTTTCATACTATGATTAGCCCGTGCTTACCAGACCTTTGTCCGCTGGCAAATCTGATACAAGGCTACGTGCCCTTTATTACAGCTCAGTTAGGTATTGAGGGTCCCACCAATTCGTCACGGAGGCAGGCGGTTACGTAGATGAGGGTAGTCGAGGCTCTCAATTGTCAGTAATAAGGGATTGATGGTGAGGTCTTCTGCTAGTGTGCGAGATTAGACTTAGAGCTTGGCGGGTAACCTGTTTCCATGGTTTTGAAAAAAGAACGCGTGAGTTGTTGCACTGGTAACACCACTGCAACAAGTTTCCAGCTTCTTGGGGACGTGCAGGGACCTAAAGTGTGATGCAAATCAGCTTTGACAGATCTGGAATAAAGTGCTTACGGAAAGGTCTGATACCACGGTATTAACATGACTGGTTATTTGTCCATCAACCCCTTCAATGTATGTATGTTCGTGGCTGCTTTTGCTAGAAACCGTGAGCTAACGCGTAAATTATTTTTCAGAGCGGTTACTACAGGGTCTTCTCACCTGTGGTTAGTCTTCCTGATCGAAAGGTAAAACTGGCTCTTTGGTCCATGGATGATAATCCCACTTTCTTGTTCATACCCAGGGCATGTGATTGATCCGCACGTGAGTGCATATGAACGATGCTGCTCGGAACCTGAGAATACCAGGATTCCACAAACGGATGTAGATTTGGACCTATTTACATGCAAATCAGATCAACAACAGGATTCGGGATTCACCTCAGCAACCGCATTCAGCGTGACATGCGAACAAGTGGGTGCGAGTCCACCGTCAACCCAACCTGATGACGGGATGCCCAGTTTACCCAGCTGCAGTGTTCAGGCAACCTGTGGTTCCGTTGCCACAGTCCAAACCCCACTTCCCCAGACAGTGCCTCGGAGCCCTCTCAAAGGCCTTGTTACATATAGCCACTACCGCCGTTCCGTCCTATCAAGAGCTCGGAGGAACGCTGACCGGTTGAGATTGAACGTGATTCATGGACGATTCCGAGGTTCTTCAACCGCCTCTGATTTGAGCTTTATGGGATCTTCCTTATTGAGTGTTGGTGTCAGACTTTCTTCTAAAAGTACAAAGTCTTCGTAACTCTGTACATATAAGAATACTCAGTTTATTTCACTTTATTCCGCCCATTTGTTTCACATGTAACTGGTTGGGATTATTCGTCGGAAGCCAAGCTGCGTAAACGTTTAACCTAAGTGATCGAAGCACGATTAGGTTAAGTCTCGTCTCAGTGTGGACCTTTGGAACGCGATTCGTATTCCTCCAACAGACCAGTCGGTTAGCAATGATTCTATTTGGACTGTTCGAGAATTTCATGCACACGGAACAGGAATACTACCCTGATTGCCCAAGTGTTTGTATGCTGCATAGTAGATAAGAGTAAGCTCCGAAGGTTGTTTTCGCTACCGAGCATCACGTATGAGGTGATATGGGATTTCCCAAATGGTCATATAATTGCTTACAAGAGACTGGGTGTGATGTTAGATGCAGGTTTATAAGGTTATCCACATAGTTTATCTTGAAGACAACATATCTTCAGTACTGCCTGCGCCATGCCATTCAAGTCTTAGAATCACTTCTGGGAATTAAGATGACTGGAAGGAAACCTGATCTGACGGTTTATTGTGCTCGTCTTTAATTTCCGGGTGTGCTGCAGTCCGTTTGGGAATCTTGCGCAGATTTCTGGATAAAGTTGAAACTGGTGAGTGGTTCCGATCAGTTCACTAATGCCAAAAGCTGCAATCAATACCACTTTTTGCTAGTAGGTGAAATGATATATCAGGTTGATCGATGGATATGAGGACATCTGTTGGCGCCTTGAGGCAGACAGAACAACCAGTTCTTACAATAACTGATACGGTGGCTTCAGTGCTACTCTCCAGCTTGCCGCAAAATTTCTGCGTCATCTAGGACATCAACAGGGAGATTCACCGATTACCTATGGGGACTGATGAGGTTCCAATCTGAGGATGACCGCTAATTCAAAACACCCTAAGTACATGACAAAGTACCACGTTTTTGGAGGCTTTATTCTAGACTCCCTGATAAGGTCGAACAATACGAGTTCTTAGCCCATCAAGCAACGACAAAAATAGCCTTGCCATTTTGAGATGTTTTTCGCAGCCGCACAGGCCACAGTGGTTCTCACTCGTCGGATTATGATTGACCACTTTGAGGTCCACGGGTGTCGCGGATCGTAGCTGACCACCCATGTTTGAAGAATGGTAAAGTGATGCGCCAGTCATTCTTACGGAGATGGGCCCCGTAGACGTATTGGATTCGTCTTTAGACCATAACAACGGCGGTTGACTGCCATACGTGGCATGGATGTACGCCTGTTCAAATCATAGGAAGGGCTTTTTCAGTGCTTTTTTATTAGACGATATTCCACGCCAAGAAGCATTCGTTATACGTTCACAGCTGTTCTGTTGCAAGACGAATAGAAGACGCAACATGTGTTTTAAACACGGCAAAATGCAGCTGTAATTCATGGAAGTCTAAACCTGCGGCTTCCGGCCCATTGAGACCTCGGAACTCCCTACGCGGAATATATCCCTTAGTTCGTAAGGTGTAGCTTGACTGGACGAACTCCAACATGCCTTGACACGCGTGAAAAGTGACGAGCAGCAAAGATAATATGTATGTACAGGAGGCTGAGCCTATCACTTCTTAGCCAAACCGAATACCCTCTGTCTTAAATGCCAAAAGCAATCGAAGCAAGTCGTCCTCGTCCAAGACTCGGCCCCGCTTTTTGTCAAAGCCTGAATCTTCCAAGATGGATTTTAACTTGACCTCCATAGCAGCGACCCCTTCAGTTGAACAGGCGATCGTAGGCGGATCTGGTGTGACACCACGAGCAGTGCAACTCTCCAAGTAGTGTTTGCGCAACAATACAGCGACAGCTTTACCGGAGAAATTCGCACCGATGGTCTTGTTTTTTCGAGCGAACACCAGCCGCAGCAGGCCATCCCATTCGGAGAAGGTGACTGGCGGGAGCGGATGCCGTGGTTCAACTCGAACCACTGCTGAGTCCACTCGCGGAGGAGGTCGAAAGCTGTTCCTACTTATCTGAAACAAAGAAATGAAGTATTCAGAGTGGGACCAAACTGAATATGCATGCAGTCGTGTTGGTGCACTAGTTGTTACAAGTTGGAGCTGAGGGTGGTCAAACACACTCATCAAGTGGAATAAGTACGACGCAGGTACAATAATGTTTGAACTCTCACTACAGCAGCACATCACGAAACCGCAAATTCTCTCCCTTAATAAAGTAGAGCTATTGACAGGTGTCTCACTGACCGTTCAAACAAGGCAGCGACCACCGTAACCTCCCGAGAGTGACCGGTATGAAAACGGTGGACAGTTTGGTACCTTCGAAAGGATTACACAATAGCTCAAGGCTGACGAGAAATAACATTGTCCCCCTCACGGGAGCTCAATTGGAGATCGTCTTAGTACATGTAGTGGTAGTAGTACGCACATAGTACACTAACTTTGAAGTGACAGAGACCGCGGACAAGCGAAAATCAGATTAGGTTGAGTGCCAATCGTGCGGCTGTAACATTCGGGGCCTGGCTGCCACGCCACTCGAAGCAACCACGAGGGCTGAAATACTCAGAATGCTAAAGCCTAGACAGGAACAATGGAGATGCAGATATTGGGTTCGAACCACGACCATTCGCGCGTTAACAGCCATCTCGAGTTCGATCACTACTTAGGTCAAAAACGACTTAATGCGGATTGAGGGGTGAAATTTTGGCGTACAAACTCATACAATATAGTTGGTAAAATACTACAGGTGTAGTCGACAAGTATTAACGACAAGGCGTGACAACAGTGCATCAAGCAATGAGTCTGAGGTAACAAAATGTCGGGTCACCGCAACAAAGAAGGCTGGTTGTACTAGGGCCACTTCCAAGGAGTGGTCCTGGGTGACAAGGATGTTAGCAATCTTATATTTTCCGGATAAAGTGATTGAAAGTATCAGAGTTCTTGTGGACCATAAAACTAACATTCCTAGAGACTCCATTGCACTTGAAGATGTGTTTCGACGACCTAACTATGAGACAGTGGTTTTCCTACAAAAACAAAGAAGAGTCCTGACACCATTTGGACTGCCTCATTGTCTGGCACTCTTCTGTGCGATGCGTGCACAATAATGTAATATGTTTACCAAGGCGATGAAAAGAGACAAAATGGTTGGTAAAACATCGTCAATATCTGGTGACGAGAAGTAGCACAGTGCTGACTCAGCAGTTCACTGAGACTTTCCAGGGGTACGCCCCTTGAAAGTCGTTAGCAGTGATGGCTATACATTACTTGGAGGAGCTTTATATCCATGATGTGGTGCGATGTCAGTCAGGGGACTTACCCGCATTAGGAGAGCCACTTTGCAATGGAATTGTACAGCTGCTGACAACCGACAGTACATTTTATCGCCTGGCTGAGCGAGTAGCCGGTCAGCAAACTCTTTTTGGACCATGACCACCGCCGCGCGATAGCCCCGACCGGCCTTCATGAGTCGTTGAATGAATGGGGAGGAGATTTGGTAGGGTAAGTTGGACACGCACAGATCGAATTTGGGCCAAGTGGTAGCTTTGATGGCATCCCCCACTAGAATTTCTAATTTAGAACGGTTGGACCTATTTGGAAAAAGCAAGAACAGTGTATAAATAGGGGGCAACCATGACAGAAAACGAACTGAACAACCCGCCAGAATACGCAAGTCTATAAAAGAAAACAGTCCGGATTTAGTCACCAAGCCGACCTAGGGGAGGGCAAGAAGCACAATTCATGTGTGAATACAAGATCCCTGCGTGTCCTGTGGGAATTGTATAACCTAACAAACAGTTTGGTTGCGCAAGATAATCACAACTAGTAATCTTAGTTAAGTATGGAATAACTGTTTGTGCAAAGAACCAGCACAGTTAAGTGGAGGGGGTGTTTGGTTGTAAGGACACTGCCTAGTTAGATTTACGGGCTGAATTTAACCACTGTTTCAGTTGGCGGGAAGTGCACTTTTCACTAGGTACCTGGAAAAGCTTGTTCCGCTCTCAAACCATAGATTGGCTGGATGCCTGAGTTGAGGGCGACCTTTGCTTCAGTCGTAGGAAGTACCTTCATTACGAGGTGCAGTCAGATGAAACAACTTTTTATTTCTCAGGCAACACCAGTGAGTTGGACACATGTACTTGATACGCTGTTTCTCTTCATGGAAAGTCGATTCCATGCGAGACTCACTAAACGCGCCCGAAGGTTATTAGAAGCGTCAGTGACGTTCTGCCTGACTCAGGCAATATAAATGCGATCGTCTGAATAGAGGTTTGGGGCGATTTAACTGGCCAATGGCGTTGGGAGATTTCCATCAACGCAAAAAGTTTAGAACCGGTCGTTATAGGAAACCTTGGGGGACAATAGGTGGATTTACTGCTCGTCAGACGAAGTTTAGCTGAAAATATAGTTAACTGCTGTAGCATCATTCTAACTGACATCGGCTAATACATCCGTCTATAAGGTGTTAACAATTGGCCATCCTCGATGTTAGGATTAACGCCCGTAGTTTCTCATGCTCAGCCATGGATTTCCAATATCTGTATTCAACTGTCACACCCACAAAGTGATACTGTGCAGCCATGCTGATCATTCGTGTCAGGATAGAGGGAGCCAACTGTCAAGGAATCACGAGGAAACCCATAGGTCCGGTGGAGCGAGCAAGCAACAGTGTATCTACTTTAGTTGATCCGATTCGTTGGCTGCGACAGAAATAAGACTCGTTAAATTATTTGTGAACCCGAGCATAAGGCTTTTTCAGCCTATCGAACAACGCGTTGAGTTCTAGTTTAACTGGTCGGCCGTCGTCCTTCCCTCTTGGGGTCTCTCCACAGTCCGTCGCAACTTCTCCACCTAATGAAGAAATCTGCAAGACAACACATTCAAGTAAGAAACTCAGTGAGCTTCCCAGTTAAGTAACACCTATTTGGAGGGATTTCGGCCCAGTGATATATTCCTAACTGCTGGTTAAGATGTTTATTTTGTTGACATTCAAAAAAGTTGGGATAAGTTTTGTTGAGTCACTCTAGCATAATCCTCAAGCCAATGATGTCCACCTCACCAACAACTGTCGTCCTCCCAAAGCCTCGAATGGTGTGCGCACTAGCCCATCATGAACTGGATTCCGTGGCGGACGTGACTGTGCAGTTCATATATTCACATTTAGACGCAGACACGTTCATCAACCATCCACGATTGTTTGTTTTCTCAAAATCCAACCAATTTTGAATCGTTTGCCATAACTGTTCCAGGGATTCTCTAATCAGAGATAGTGCGCCGGACAAATTGGTGAATGTCTGAAACCATTGCGCATAGAAACGCCTGGGTATAACATAACGTAGCATCTGGTATTCGAATCACCAACGTGTATTTCCGCAATACGATCAACAGGGACTGGCTTCACACCAGGGCATGGGTTTTCATTAGATTAAGCACTGTTCGTCGCTCGTCGTTTCCTTCGTTATACGTCCGAACGTACCCACTCGTGATTGCTCCAGTATGTGAATAGTTCTAAGGCACTTTGGGTCGGTCTATCTTTGTTTGTTCGAATTCACTGAATGCCTTAAACTATAAGGCGTCACTAACTGAATGAGTGAAACTCGATTTCATCTTAGGTAAAAAGCGAAATTGGTTGACTGGAACACAGTTTCCCAAACTTGCCTGGCCGATAGCGTTGTCAGGTCGTACAGCGCCGGTTTCACCTTAGGTTCTGTGCTGCCCATTATCGTCACCCCTATCTAGAGTTGTGATAGACCACATCCTAGAGACTGTTCATTTACAGGTCGACAGCGGTAGTGGCTAAGATAAAACGAGTTCTGGACCTAGGCCGCGTAAATGACATCGTTATATGGGACGAAGATCACAATGCCGTTCAATTCACCTTCAATAACTGCGTTAGGAAATTTCCGTCAAGTTACGCTGGAAGTCATGTGGCATGTACTACTCATATCGACCTATGGCCAAGTCTACACACGAGTTATCTAAGGACAAGAATAGTCCAACGTACTTCCGATTCAACGCACCAAATGGAAATAACCTTCCTCAGTACGCAGGCAAGAGTGACATGCATTACTCTAAGACACTTATGGTGATGATGAGGTCTGGGTGAATGACAGTATAATCTTCACTGGTACTTTCTTATGGAGAGGAGAGCTGATAGTTAAGTTAATGTAAGATTTGATAACCGTCTGCTTTCGACCACTGTTGTCTACAAGCATCGTGAGTATCTATTAGCGGCAATGACGATGGATTACGGGTGATGCGAAAATCACTAAACTTAAACTAGTGATCAAAATGTGCATTGATGGTGGAACCATATTTACTCACACGAGCTTCAGTCCAGGCGTCAGATGGGAAACTAGAAAACAGCAGAACTCGGTGTCCAAAACAGAGTTTATTACTACCAGAATAACCTCGGTCGGGTTGTCACAATAGCCAAAATGAAGCATGAAAGATAGAGAATTTTTTCTGGTCCCGATGTGACGCGTTGTGTTATCTGGTACAGTGAGTTTTCCGAGTGATACTTTCGATGCTGTTGTTGTCAAATTCGGATACACGGTACTCGTAGCTATGCCGCTCTTATTGTAAACTTTAGAGATTTTCTAAGCCAAGGTGCCGTAATGTGGAAGTGTGTTCCAACTATTGGGAAGGCAGCACTTTCTATCTCAAGCTTACTGTAAAAACAGACAACAAATGGTACATACATTAGACCGAGGAAGATAACATAAACGGAGCAACTCCAGATAGGAGATCCCCAAAGAAAATTATTGCAGTGATTAACCGAGAATAACAGACCGAGCCCGAGTCAGTGAGTGTGCGCGAAGGGTGGATTTACGGTGTATGTGAGTCAGTTATGTTCGAGGTACTACGACATTATTGCTATTAATGGAAAACAACCATGAAGTGGCTTTTGACCCCCCTATCACGAAGTACTTTGGCCTCACGGAGAGAAATCCAGTTTCGTTTAAAACCACTTGGACTATAGGTTCAAAAAGCTGGTGATGTCACACAACTATCTGTTTCTGGGTAGTTATTTCATTTCAAGCTACCTAAGGCCAAGTGACGAAAACAAAAAAACCGTCACTGGGACCCAAAAACTTAACCCAAGAACTCACAAGGTCTGGAGACGTTTTTGCAATTCGGCAACCATTCGAGGGTCGATCTCAAACGCGCACACCTTCTTCGCCCGTTCCAAAAGTTTTACAGTGAGGTTACCGGTTCCCGCACCTATTTCAAGCACAGTATCTGTGTTTTTCACACCGGCCTTCTCAATCATGGTGTTGATAATCAAGGGGTTTTTGAGAATGTGCTGTCCCTTCTGTTTTTGGAAACGAATACCTCCCGTTTTAATTATTTCAGATTTTTCCTTCTTAGTTTTCGTCTTCCCCATTTCTTTTCGTAAGATGCACCGGTCTGTAGAAACTGAAAAAAAACAGGGCAAAACATTTGAAGGTATCTACGGTTGAGCTTATGAACCTCACTTATAGCACCTAAGCTTGGTTCAGAGGGTTTGATTCCTCGTTACTCACGATAAACGTGCTGCAACTGAGTTGTTTAGATTGACAAGTGGAGTATGGAACGCCCGGATAAATTTATTATTTTCTGGTGAACATTACAGCTTTGAAAAGACGGTACGGATTCATCATAACATAGTAAGCGCGGATAGGAGGATCCAAGTGAAAACCACATGAGATTTCCACTCTTGATGTAGTGACAGGTTGCAGGCGTTGTCCTCCAGGCTTAAAAGCATACAGCTGTGATGAGAAACCATCATCGTTATCCGGGACAGTAAAATCAGTGTTAACTCTGATGCCTCACTGCCGTACAACCACAACGTTTATCTGATCATATTTAAGGCCTTAGAATGAAAAAAAGAATGGGTGAGGAAGGGACCCAGTTCTGAGGTGCCTACACCTTCAGGCACTCAGTCAGACAACCTGAAAAGAAATTGACGAAAGCCACTTTTCTGGTGAACATTACAGCTTTGAAAAGACGGTACGGATTCATCATAACATAGTAAGCGCGGATAGGAGGATCCAAGTGAAAACCACATGAGATTTCCACTCTTGATGTAGTGACAGGTTGCAGGCGTTGTCCTCCAGGCTTAAAAGCATACAGCTGTGATGAGAAACCATCATCGTTATCCGGGACAGTAAAATCAGTGTTAACTCTGATGCCTCACTGCCGTACAACCACAACGTTTATCTGATCATATTTAAGGCCTTAGAATGAAAAAAAGAATGGGTGAGGAAGGGACCCAGTTCTGAGGTGCCTACACCTTCAAGCACTCAGTCAGACAACCTGAAAAGAAATTGATAGCACGAAAGCCACTGACATCGATCAGCCGTCATTTCTTGAAATGTCTCCAGTCAAGGACAGTAGGGGTCACTGGACCCCATCCTGAAAGTGCACTGCACAAACAACACCTAAACTCTTGATAATCTCTTTCAGTCATACGTTGTCCACCTCACTGTGTCTGTAGAGTGGGACACATTGACAGTCATCCCTATCTTCAAAAAGGGTACGTGAACGCTGTGTGAAAGCCACCGTGCCACCAGACTGGTAGATGCCGTATCGAAGGTCTTATCCTTCGACAGGAGCACAGGAATGGACAGATTAGTGAGAACCAAGTTGGGTTCCGTTTGCAAGAGGATGCACCGGTCACATTTTCACCCTTCGTCAAATTCTGGAACAGCGTCACTGGTTCCAGTGGCCAACAATGTTTATCTTGGCTTGAAGGCTGCCTTTGGCTCTGTGGACCATCAGGCACTATGGAAGTCTGTGGAGCAAAGGTGTCCCCCATAAGTTATTGACCCTCCTTAAGGTGCTTTACACCAACTCCCGCAGACGTGTGAAGGTTTACGGGAAGCTATCAACTGAGTTCACCATGTCAGGTATATTTTACGTTTAAAGTAACTTAGAAAACACGTGTGTAAGGACACGGATGTATTGCATACATGCGGCCAAACAGATCCGCATGTAACGGGTACACACATAAACTGAATCATATACACGGTTCTATCACGCAATGTTGGATAGATACGCAAGTGTACAAACCAATGGACACATCCAACCAGCTACTAGTCACATAGCAGTTTGCCCATGGGTTTACGAACGGACACGCGTGCAAACTCTATGACACGTCCGAGCGGCTACCACAATCCACCACCATAGTTAACCAACTCCCGCTTCGTAGCATTCCACCGGCTTTGACTCCCGTGCTGATCGGCGTAGGCACCTTGGTGAATCTGTAGCAGCTTCGAAACTCTCTTGCTTCAATCCGGAGTCCACCTGTACCACCGGCTCAGGTGGTTCATGCTTCCTAGTTCTAACAGCATATCGATAAGACGACGGTTCGTCAATGGCACACATCCACGTACCCATCGCTTATCTGAGGTTTAAGGTGCCTACACCTTCAAGCACTCAGTCAGACAACCTGAAAAGAAATTGATAGCACGAAAGCCACTGACATCGATCAGCCGTCATTTCTTGAAATGTCTCCAGTCAAGGACAGTAGGGGTCACTGGACCCCATCCTGAAAGTGCACTGCACAAACAACACCTAAACTCTTGATAATCTCTTTCAGTCATACGTTGTCCACCTCACTGTGTCTGTAGAGTGGGACACATTGACAGTCATCCCTATCTTCAAAAAGGGTACGTGAACGCTGTGTGAAAGCCACCGTGCCACCAGACTGGTAGATGCCGTATCGAAGGTCTTATCCTTCGACAGGAGCACAGGAATGGACAGATTAGTGAGAACCAAGTTGGGTTCCGTTTGCAAGAGGATGCACCGGTCACATTTTCACCCTTCGTCAAATTCTGGAACAGCGTCACTGGTTCCAGTGGCCAACAATGTTTATCTTGGCTTGAAGGCTGCCTTTGGCTCTGTGGACCATCAGGCACTATGGAAGTCTGTGGAGCAAAGGTGTCCCCCATAAGTTATTGACCCTCCTTAAGGTGCTTTACACCAACTCCCGCAGACGTGTGAAGGTTTACGGGAAGCTATCAACTGAGTTCACCATGTCAGGTATATTTTACGTTTAAAGTAACTTAGAAAACACGTGTGTAAGGACACGGATGTATTGCATACATGCGGCCAAACAGATCCGCATGTAACGGGTACACACATAAACTGAATCATATACACGGTTCTATCACGCAATGTTGGATAGATACGCAAGTGTACAAACCAATGGACACATCCAACCAGCTACTAGTCACATAGCAGTTTGCCCATGGGTTTACGAACGGACACGCGTGCAAACTCTATGACACGTCCGAGCGGCTACCACAATCCACCACCATAGTTAACCAACTCCCGCTTCGTAGCATTCCACCGGCTTTGACTCCCGTGCTGATCGGCGTAGGCACCTTGGTGAATCTGTAGCAGCTTCGAAACTCTCTTGCTTCAATCCGGAGTCCACCTGTACCACCGGCTCAGGTGGTTCATGCTTCCTAGTTCTAACAGCATATCGATAAGACGACGGTTCGTCAATGGCACACATCCACGTACCCATCGCTTATCTGAGGTTTAACGTAAACCTCCTCGCCACTTCGTATTGTGCCAGATCGGGCGTGCTTAGTCGCTTTTGCCTCATGGAACACTGTTTGACCTTAACCAGAACATTCAGCCGTGTAAGATCCAAACTTGTCCAAGTCTCCGTCCCATTAGTAATCACAGGGCGTCTGGCCTGTAATAGTATGCGGCGTAACTCTGTATTGCAGTAGAAACTTGTCTAGTCTTATTTGTAGAATACTGTTGGGCTTTGTTTTTACCAATCAATTCTTCAACGTGGCCACCGAGCGTCCAGATAGGCCATTAGAAGCGCGATAGGATGGTGCTGCTAAAATATGTTATATGTCATTGGTCTTCAAAAAAGTAGGAATTCGGTTAGTCAGGAATCCACGCGGATCCCACCATACCGCACCTCTTTAGGCGCTGCTACGGCCGAGAAGCCTCGCCCGCTCGAGGTTGGCCCAGAATTCGGGACGCTTGCAGGTCCGGCATCAAGGCGAGATCTGATTGGTCAACATTCTGCACCCAACAGCCAATCATGACCCAGTATTGGTCAAATGACGGTTGCCAATGGAGCATCCAGAACGTGTCAGAAATCCCAGAAAGTTATAGCTGCTTACGCTATATATACGAAGCGCTGTACAACTGTTCCTGACTTCGTTTTGGGCGTTAATAGACCTTGCGCACCTTTGGTGGTTGTTTTGACGTGAACGCTAGCTTGGGAGGCTCGGATTCAGAACTAAGCTGAGGAAAATACCGTTAATACAATTGGCGAACGGGAACCCAGGATGTCAATCGAATTTGATCAGCTCCGAGAACTATTGCAGCAGCACCAAAAGCAGTGTGAAGAAGCGCAACCGAAGCTCACTGAATTACTGTCTCAGAAACTGCATATCCAAACAACAGCAGTCAGTACTGGTGAGTCTTCTGTTCCCTCAAGTGACGCAGCCGCGGCCTTAATTGCGGAGTTCACATTTGACGCTCTTTCTGGTCACACTTTTGACTCCTGGTTCAAGCGGTACGAAGACATGTTCAAGACTGATTTTTCAAAATTTGATGATGGATGGATAGTCAGACTATTGCTGCGAAGACTCGGCACACCGGAGCATGAACGGTTCGCAAATTTCATTTTCCCCAAGCTTCCCCGCTACCTCAACTTTGATGAAACGGTCAGAATACTGTCCTAGATATTCGGCGATCAAACATCACTGTTCAATATCCGCTACCAATGCCTAAAGTTGGTCAAAAATGTGATGATGATTTCATCACGTTTGCCGGTGTTGTCAATCGAGAATGCAAGCGCTTTAGGCTCAGCTCAATGACAGAGAATCAGTTTAAGTTTAAGTCATCCCCGGATGCTGACAACAGAACCCGGCTTCTTAACAGAATTGAACAGGATGCCGAAATGACGTTGCAGAGCCTCACCACTGAATGCCAACGACTCATCCACCTGAAGCACGACACGGTTACGATCGGTCAGCCACCTGTGACCTCAGGCAGCTGTATACAGGCAGTCAACTCCAGCGTGCTCAGGAGATCCGACAAGAAGCCCCATCGAAGACAGGGTAAGCCTCCCACAAGTTCCTGTCATTGCGGTGGGTGGCATTTTGCACGTTATTGCCGGTT